GAATCTGCTTTCCAGTTCAGAGGAGGGGGTTTGATCACTGATCAGGAAACTAAAGATCCCACCTGCCGTGGGACAATTAAGCCTGCCCACCACAACTAGAGAAGCCTGCGCACTGCAACGAAGACCCAGCGCAGCCGAAATAAAGTGAGAAGAGTACCATTTGCAGTCAGGTAAAAAGGAGCTGTTATAACGGGGCTGCTTCAGTTTTCCTCTGTTGCACTAACCAGATTAACTTGTTTAATCCTAATTCCCCAGGTGGTGGTTGGATCTGGGATCCCTGGCCCCAGTCTCTTTTCTTATCCTAGTCATTTGGAAACCTCTGAGATTTACAGACCAACGGAGCTGGAGAGGCCTTCTGAGTTTATTCAGTCCAATACCTCCCTTACAGATGGCGAAACCGAGACCCAGAGAGAAGGTGGTTTCTCCAGGGCCATGCAGTGGGCAGGTGGCAGAGCTGGGAACCTATCCAGGGTCACAGTCGAGCCGAGTGGGGATGGAGTGTTAGTGACGACAAGCAGCCTTCACTCTGCATGGGAAGTGAAGTGAAGCTCTTGGAATCCAGAAGACCCCTCCTGCCACCCTCGGCACCTCTCACACACTCAGGAGAGGGATCTCACTACCCCTTCCCTGGGCTGGGATGTGAGGAGTTTATGGAAGGAGGCTGAAGTCTGACCGGATCTCATCTTGTGTCCGGCCAGAGCTGCCCAAGAAGTGCTCTAGGGAGAAAAGAGAACTGACCAACCAGCTTTGCAAGTAAACAAATGGAATGAATTAATGTGACCTGACATACAGTAGGATAGGATAGACTAGAACAGAACAAAATAAAATAGACGCCTTTGTTCTCATCAGGGGGCCACTTTCTGGAGGGGCTTTCTCCTTTCTCTCTCCATTCACCCATCTCTCCTGCTCCCACGCTCAGCAGACCCCCTCCCCCACACTTTCCCTCCATCCTGTCTCCACCACTTCCTTTTCTGTCCTTCTGGGAAGATGGACTTCTGACAAACCCAAGCAATCAGCAAATATAATCTTTAATAAACAGATTTTTGGTGATTTTGTTAGATAACCACATTCAGGGAACATCTCTAGAATTCTAAGCAAAAAGAAGAAAGAGTTGACTCACAGCTCCATCATCACCAAATCCAATGTCTTTGACCTGTTTGAGTTTACTTTGGTTCTTGTCCCAACATTAAACAGATAACTACCATTTTCTACACCTTCCTATATGCCAGGCATCCTGAGAAGCACTTCAAATAATATAAACCCAGAAGTATTTTATTCCCCAGAATCCACCCCTCCCCCCCGCTTTTTTTTTGACTACTCAGAATCCCTTCAAATAATAAAAGCAACTAACGTTTGTTGGGAACGTACTATGTGCCAGACACTATGCTCTCTTTTCGTCCTAATAACCCAGTGTGTGCCTCCCCACCCCCACAAACATTCTCCAGAGGAAGATCAGTGGCCCCTCCGAAGTCCCCAGGGTGGTTTGGTTTTGTCCTCTTTAAAAGGTGAGACTGCCCTATTACTTCCCCCTTTGGGTTTGCAGGGGACAGTTGGGGCTTGGCTGTGAGTTCCTTCGTTCTTATTATTGCCTTTGTGGCTTTGGTGTTTCCAGGTGTAATTCCCAGATGGGCTTGAGCAAAGGATGGCCTTGTTTCCTGCTATTCCAAACATCAAAAGGACAGACAGCAGGGTCTAAACAAGGGCCTCAAGATGAGGAGATATTTTCACTGATACACAGAACAAATGGGAATCTGGCCAGGGGCAGCTGGACAGAACTTTCAGAGAAGAGCTCCCTGTGGTCTTGTAGTGGCACCAGCCCTCCTGCAAGAGGGAAGGAAGCCAGGCCAAGAGTGGCCTGGGCTTTTCTGTTGTCTTCGTGAAGGTTCTGTCTGTGTTCAGGAACAGAAATCAACTCAGACGACCCCAGGCACAATTTGGGGGAGGAGGTGGGGGTATCTCATGGAACCCTAAACCAGCTGGGTCTGGGGAAGGCCTGAAGTCAGGAAGGAGAGCCACCAGAGACCTTTCAGAAGGTTCTCTCTCATCTCTGCTTCAGCCTTTCCCTTTCTCCTAAACAGCTCTCTCTGCTTCTGTGCTCTCATGGCTGATGAGGCCGCCCCATCCCAAGGGAACTCCAGGCTGAACTAACCCAAAGGCCAGCTTTGGAGGGGGTGGAAGCTCCATCCCTCCCTGCTCTGGTTGACCCCCTCCCACTCCTCCCACTGCCCACCCCATCTGCTGCAGGGCCCTTCCCACTACTGGAGTGGATGCTTCCCGCACCCCTCCACCCCCTCCACCAGCATCCGAGGTGGGAGTTCAGAAGAAGGAGAAGCCAGCCTCTTCCTCCCTTGGGGACTTCTGAGCAATCCCGCTCCGTATGTTCCCTGTCTGTGTTGTGAGACTGCAGGATGCTCCTCGGGGATGAATGGGTCTCTCCATCATTTCTAGTAAATAAATAAATAAATTGGAAAAAAAAAAAAGCATTTTCTCAGCCCCAGCCCATACCACCAGGCTCCTCCTCCCCGGGGTGGCCAGTTGTAGTCATGTCCTTTGTGGAAAGTCCCCCGTCCTGGCCCCTCCTGATTTCTGGCGGGTGCTGGGATGCTGTTGGGGCAACACCTTACAGAGGTAGCTCCCCCGGCTTTCGGGAGTGGGGCAGCCTCAGTGTCCTGTATCTTTCTCTCCCCAGTGGATCTGCCCGTACCACAGAAGCTGCTGGCCCGACTCCTGGTGAGTGGCTCATGGGTCGTGCACTGGCCTGGCCTCCACTGTGTCCTGAGGTGTCCCTCCCATGAGCTCCTAATCCCCAGGGCCTCCATGGGGAGCAGGGAGCTGGATGATTTGCAGGACAGAGCTTTCCAGGCCCCCGTCGTCCCTCTGGGGAGATATGGCAAGGGCAGCAGGCTCCCAGATTTCTCTGCTGGGCCTTTGAATGGCCCCAAGCATCCGCAGGACTCTGTCAGCAATCTGCCCTTCCCTGGGGGTCAGCTCCGCCCTGCACCATGCATCCTCCTCCTTGTGTTGACCCTGCTCCGAGCTCCATGGAACCCGGGGTGGGGAGGGAGCCCATGCTCTCATGTCTCCTTTCATGCCTTCAGCATCCTCTGCGGGGATGCTCTGATCCTGGGAATCCTCGGAGTTCTGCTTGAAAGAACCCATCCTGTCCACCTCTCCCTTTATGGACTCGGACAGTGAGGCCCCAGGTTGAGGCGTGCAGGGCCTGGGGCTGCCCAGCCAGCGAGGGGCCCCACTGGAGTCTCGGTGTTCCCCAGGTACTGATGTCGTCCCCCTCCAAGGGGGAGGGCCGCGAAATCGCCATGCTCAACCTTCTGAAGACCCTGAGCCAGAGCATCACCCCCTCCATGGCCGACATGTGGGAGCTGGAGATCACGCTGCTGGTCAAGTACCTGGAAATGAGATGTCTCAGGTTCATGTGTGAGCCACCCCCTAAGTGTACCCACCGGGTGCTAGACCTGTGGCTGAGCAAAGGATCCTGAGTGCATGTGTGATCCCCTCACACACACCCCTAGTGTACATGTCGGATACTCAGCACCTGGTCTGAGCAAAGGAGTCGGGGTGTGTGGCCACCTCACATCACTGTACATGCCGAGTGCCAGTCACGTGTCCTGAGCAAAGGCGCCCGGGCTCCAGGTGGCCGGCACAGCCTACTCTGCTCCTTGGGAGGGTGGGGAGGGACGTGGGGGTGTGGGGAGCCCATCCACGGAGGACCCCAGATGCTGCATTTAGGAGGCGGCATGGAGGAGCCTCAGGAGAGAGGAGCAGGGGTGGCCCTTCTCTCTGCAGAACACACCGAGTTTACCTGGAACCAGAAGACGTGGGAGGACAGGCTGAGTCAGGTGGCGGTGATCCCGCCGCCTGAGGCCGGGCTGGGGGCGGTGGGGCAGCTCTCTGTGGGTTTGGCTTGGGGGGAGTTCAGGAGCCCCCAGGGGACACGTTCCCCTCCTGTCACAAGACTGGGGGAGCACAAGCAGCTCCAGCAGGAGACCCCACCCTGGAAGCCCAAGCCCCGGAGGCAGCACAGGGTGACCCCTCCCGGCAGCCCCCAAGCCCGCACAGCACAAGGCTGGGTCGGGGCTGAAAGGCCGAAGCCCTCTAGAGACCGGGGAAGGCGCTGGATAGGGAGAGTCACGGCTCGAGGAGCACAGCCCTCTGCAGCACTGCCCACCTGTGCCTTCTTCCCCCCACCCCCAGTTTCTGAGAAACTCCCTCAAGATGCCTCGGGGTTCCCGCTGGAGCCTGCGTCTGAGCAAAGAGCTGAACAACCAGATCGAGAGCTTCAACAGCCCCTCCCTGGAGAAGGTTGGTTCCCGGAGCTGACCCATTGAAAAGACCCTGATGGGAGGGATTGTGGGCAGGAGGAGAAGGGGACAACAGAGGATGAGATGGTGGGATGGCATCACCGACTCGATGAACATGGGTTTGAGTAGGCTCCAGCAGTTGGTGATGGACAGGGAGGCCTGGCGTGCTGCTGTCCATGGGGTCGCAAAGAGTCAGACATGACTGAGCGACTGAGCTGAACTCCTGTCTGTTCGCGTTATTTTTTCCCAAATGTACACACAACGTTCTTGTAAACAAAAAATAAGAGACATAATCCAACAATGGGGACAGAATAGAGGCAGAATTTTCAAAAATGGACCATGACAAGATGCAAAGATGACTAACCAAGATGCAAACATTCTGCCTCTCGCGGATAATATCCTAAGTCAGAGAGAAGGCAGGAGGATTAGTGCTCCTAGGTTTGTTGGTGGGAGTGTAGGTTGATTCCGTTTATATAGGAGAGAAACTTGGCCCCCACTCTTGGTAACCTGCCTGCCCTGCTACAGCCTAACCTCTCAGAGTAGCCCGGATACTTGATTTTGAAAATATCCAAAAGGCATATTTTTAAGTCTGGAGGAACGAGTAGGGACCCACCCTTGGCAGTGGCCCCAGAGGCCCGGGCGGGAGGCTTGAAGCGCCCTCCGTCCCTCCCGCCTCTCCAGGGCTTTCTGTACCGGGCCTTGGGCTTCTCCCCGGCCACGGGCCTGGAGGCCGACAAGGTGGGGGTGCTGCTGCTGGAGCGGCTCTATAAGACGGACCACAGCGACGACTTCGACCGGGAGGTGAGGTGCCCGTGGTCCCCCGGGCCTCGGGAGGACGTGGTGTGTGCACGCGGGTGCCTGTGTGCGGGCGTTGTGTTTTTCTGAGTGTGCGCGTGCGTGTCTGTTAATCTGTATGTGTGTGCTGGGGAGACAGATGGGGTGTCCCCCGCCCCAGCCTCTCACCCTGCCCCCTGGGTTTCCCCGCAGGGTGTGATCCTGTGCTTTGGCCTGTGTGCCCGGGGCCAGGTGAAGACGGTGCTGGGCGTGCTCCATAACTTTGAAGAGAGGATCCAGGAGTCAGAGCAGTCCTGGCAGATCGGCGCCTGGCGGGTGAGGCACCATTGCTACATCGTCAGTTCTCTGGGGGCCTCTTAGAATGGTGTTTTCAGCCCCCAACCAAGGCTCTTCAGTTCAGTTCAGTTCATTTCAGTTCCTCAGTCATGTCCAACTCTTTGTGACCCCATGGACCGCAGCACGCCAGGCTGCCATGTCCATCACCAACTCCTGCGGCCTACTCAAACTCATGTTCATTGAGTTGGTGATGCCATCCCACCATCTCATCCTCGGTCGTCCCTTTCTCTTCCCGTCTTCAATCTTTCCCAGCATCAGGGTCTTTCAGATGAGTCAGCTCTTTGCATCAGGTGGCCAAAGTATTGGAGTTTCAGCTTCAACATCAGTCCTTCTGATGAATATTCAGGACTGATCTCCTTTAGGATGCACTGGTTGGCTCTCCTGCAGTCTTACTAGATCTCAATAAGAAACTCCCCTCTGTGTCTCCTTCGCCAAAGTGGAGCGGGGAATTGGACCGAGGCGGCCAAAGGCTGGGCTCTGGAGGCTGTCCCTTCCATCCGCAGGGCACAGTGCCCGGGGCTGCCTGAGTCCCCAGTCGCCCACCAGCTGTGTCACAACCGATGCTTCAGGTTTTGGCCTTAGCCTTGAGCCTTTGCCCTGGGGATCTGGTAGTTTGGAGAGAGAGAATTGGGAGTGTCCTGACTTCTCTCCCGGGTTCTCCACAAAGTGGAGCCTCAGACCTGGATTTCTACTCAAAGCCTGGAGAGCACGGGCTCCCCTGCTCCTCCTCTCATGGTGGGTTGGGTGGCCTCCAACACCTCCTCCTGGAAGAGCTGGGCTGAGGCTCTCTCTTCCCAGTGAATCACCAGCATCTCGGAGCTCCTGGCCCAGAGCCGGTGCTCAGGAGGTGAAGGGGTGAAGGCGCGCACAGCCGCCTCTAGTGGGGTGTCCGCACAGAACCCCTGCGACCGTGGAGTCATGGCCACGGCCTGACCTGCTCACCACGCCACATCAGGGGCTCATGAACGTGTGTTCAGTGAGAGAATACATGATTGAGCGCTTCAGGTGCCCAGGAAACCCTGAGGCATAGATCCTCTCCTCGATGGCCACAGTGAGAGTGAGAGAGAGAGAGACCAGGCCAGGACATGCAGCAGAGTCTGGCAGTTGCTTTTTCACCGTAGTCTTTAGACCCTAAGTTGGTACATTTCTAAGGAGGAGATATGCACACAGACTTAGTTTAACGTTACCTCAGCTTGTCCTTCACGAAGCCAGGTGTGCTCTGTATATTTTTGTTTATGAACCTCTTTTCCCATAGATTTTTTGTACATTATCTTCTGGCCTTGAGGTTAGCAGAAAACAGAAAAGTGGCAGTCTCATGATACAACAGGTTGCAACATAATAGAAATACAATCTTGTTAACATAAAAGTGCGTCTTTTTGCAGAAATTCTCAGCTAAATGTATCTAAAAAGTTTAACACACAAAGACTCTGTGGCTCTGGTGAGGCAGCCCCTGTTTAGCACTCTTGGTTAAAATTAACAATTATCTTATTGTTTTTACACTAGTGCTAAACTCTTATTTTTCAGATCTCCAACTATATTAACAATAGTTTCCACTGTACAACCTCAGCACATTAACATCAATCAAACATTGATCTAATAACCACTTTTAAAACAATATGTTTTGTAATTTTTAATAGGGCTTACTAACCCCCCCCCCCATAGGGCTCTGTGCCTATTAGGGCCTTTTTAATGGTTAATCTCTATGTGTAATATCTTTTGGCTTTCAGGCCTGTTGACAATTTATGGCTTGCACCTGGTGCAACTTTAAGCAACTTCAGTAGCTGACCCTGTCTTTTTTGTGGTTAATTTATTTTCTATCTATTAGGTGTCATCTCTATGGGAACTAGATAGGATTACATTTTTTACAGAACAGAAATGTAAAGGATTGCAAAAACAGCAGATATGGCACAAAACAGACTCTTAGTCTAAAAGTTAATTACCTGCAAGAAGTCGCCAGCTAATTCTCTATCTAAACTATTTTCTATTAGGAACATTTGTGGCCATCATATTTGTGGAGCTTTTCTCACCCCGTGAAGGGGCCTATGCTTAATAGTTTCTTTTGTTAGCGTACTGTGCTTAGGATATTTAGAACAATCAAGAGCATTTTTTGCAATGAGAGCACATATTTATCACACAAGCCAGAATGCCAGCAAAAGGGTTTGAATTGAAGCATTTCCTTCATCCCTGGCCCCTTCATAGGGTACCAGCATCCAGGAGATTTATTAATTAGGGTTTTAAGTTGGTCTTTATTCAGTGAAAGTGGAGCAGGAGAACTCTCAGCAGGCAACACAAGAATCTGCAGCAGGGTAAACAAGAACAACAGCAGATGAGGGGGGAGGATACAGGGTGGGGTAGAGGCCGAGGCCAATCTGGAGGGTCCCTTATCCTAGACGGCCTTGCCTGTCAGGTTTCTTCCTTGTGACCTCGTCATGGATGGAGTCCCGGACGGCCTTGCCTGCCCGGTATTTCCTTCATGACCTCGTGATGGGTGGGACCCCCTATAATGGCTCCCGGCATTGGTTAGTCATCTTTGCATCTTCTCATGGTCCAATCTTGGAATTTCTGCCTCTATTCTGTCCCCATTGTTGGATTATGTCTCTTATTTTTTGTTTACAAGAACGTTGTGTGTACATTTGGGAAAAAATAGCGCGAACAGACATCAGTTCAGTTCAGTCGCTCAGTCATGTCTGACTCTTTGCGACCCCATGGACAGCAGCACGCCAGGCCTCCCTGTCCATCACCAACTGCTGGAGCCTACTCAAACCCATGTTCATCGAGTCGGTGATGCCATCCCATCCTCTGTTGTCCCCTTCTCCTCCTGCCCACAATCCCTCCCAGTATCAGGGTCTTTTCAAATGGGTCAGCTCTTTGGATCAGATGGCCATAGTACTGGAGTTTCAGCTTCAACATCAGTCCTTCTAATGAACACCCAGGACTGATCTCCTTTAGGATGGACTGGTTGGATCTCCTTGCAGTCCAAGGGACTCTCAAGAGTTTTCTCCAACACCACAGTTCAAAAGCATCAATTCTTTTGCGCTCGGCTTTCTTTATAATCCAACACTCACATCCATACACAACCGCTGTTTTTTTTCCTTCCAATTTATTTATTTATTTACTTTAATTGGCGCCTAATTACTTTCTAATATTGTGGTGGTTCTTGCCATACACTGAACTGAATCAGCCATGGGTGGACATGTGTTCCCCATCCTGAACCCCCCTCCCACATCCCTCCCCATCCCACCCATCAGGATCATCCCATTGCACCAGGCCTGAGTGCCTGCCCTGTTTCATGCATTGAATCTGGACTGGCGATCTATTTCACATATGGTAATGTACATGTTTCAGTGCTATTCTCTCACATCATCCCACCCTTGAATTCTCCCACCAAGTCCAAACGTTTCTTCTTTACATCTGTGTCTCTTTTGCTGTCTCACATATAGGGTCATCGTTACCATCTTTCCAAATTCCATATATATGCGTGCATATACTGTGCTCTTTTCAGGACAGGCCAGCTTGGGAGTGCACACCCGGCCGGCCTGAGCGTGGTTCTCTCCTACTGTGAGTCTTGGCCTCCTTGAGCCAACAGTAACTAGACACCACCCCCTCCCCTCCCCTCCCTCTGCAGGCTTTGGGAGGCTGTGAACCCACAAGTAGGGATCTCACAGCATTTGGACCAGCAAGCGAGGGAAGGGCAGGCCTGCTGGAAGCTTCAGGGAGGGGCGGCACCCAGGAAGGAGCCAGCCCTAGACTCAGGGTCCAGGCAGGAGGCAGACCAGGGGTGGTCTAGCTGGATGCTCAGAGCAGGCTCTGCCCCTACTATCTCTGGGTCCTGTAGGCTCGCAGTCACCTTCTGTCACTGGCCACATACATCCTCAAAGCCCGAGGACCATGGCAGCAGCCCCCTGGGACAGCAGGGTACCCGTAAGTAGGTCGGTCTAGTTCCTTTCTTGAGGGTCTGGTGCTAACAAGTGCGTCATCACGGTGAGGCGGAGGGCCTGGTGGGGGTTGTTCCAGAAGAGTCGGATGGGATATATAGTCCTTCCAGTGGGCTCACGGGGGCCAGAGAGCTCACACCTGCTTGAAGTCTGAGCCAGGAACCCTGCCCTGGGGTCTGGGCCAGGGTGGGCAGGAGGTGGAGACGAGAGGAGTGGGCTGCCAGAGGAACTGTGCATGGCTTTAACCTCCTCGGATTTCGGCAAGGGCGCCTCTTTGGCAAGGCCTGGCTCTCTGGGCTCCAGGCTGCTTCCTGGAGAAGGGGGAGCGGTCCAAGGCACGGGGCAGCCCACCTGCCCAGTCCCTCCAGCTGGCGCAGGAGGGCTGCCCACCGTGCCTGCTCTTACTTGTGCTGGCCTCCTCGTCCTTGGCGTGCAGCTGGCGCTCGGCCAGGTTGGTGAGGCTGACGCAGATGGGGGTCAAGGCCTCCGTGTAGTCCGTCTCCATGATGCAGCACGGGACCCTCTCCCAAAATCCCTGTGGGGGCGATGGGGGTGAGGTGGGGATGCTGGGGTCAGCCAGCCTGGGCATCACACAGTCCTGCGATGAGATCGTCGGTCCCTCCCCATGCCGACAGCATTGTCTCAGCCTCGCTTCTCCAGAAC